ATGATTAAGATAGCTTTCTGCTATATTAAAACATTTAAACTAATTTAATTCTGATTATTATGAAATTAACCAGGGCTGTGGAGTCGGTAGATAAATGCTCCGACTCCTCAGTTTCTAAATCTTCCGACTCCGACTGCTCTGTATGTATATACTATGCTAATGTATTTTCTACATCCATTGAAGGAAAGGAAGGCAACATACATGTCATTTCACCACAGAACTACTGGCTAGGAAGCCAACACTCTACTATAATGCCAGATTAAAGACAAACACAATGAAAACAAGGTTTCAAGGGTAGCGCATAGCGAAGGGGAGCCGACGGAGCTGAGAACACACCAGATGATTTTTCAGGCGTTTGACGCGTGATGACTCGTTGAACGGCCGAAAAATCGGCAGTGGATCTGTAAATGTATGGGGGGCTTTAGGCTATGTTCACAGTTCCCTGTAACAGTGGAACACGACACAATGGAAAGCGGTGCCGCACCTTACCTGTGCATTACATCCCATATAGTGACGCATACAGTCAATGAAAAGCATGCTTCATGGTTACTTGACATGTTCGTTTTGTGGTAACATTATGCACTGCATGCATTGGGCTTTATTCTTACAGCAGAGAAGTAGTTCATTATGACTGTTTGTGAATTGGGACATTTCAACTTACTTTTTTAATTCCCATTTAAATTTAGTAGGAGTCGGAGTCGGTTAACTTTTTGCCGACTCCGACTCCAGGTACCCAAAATTGTCTCCGACTCCGACTCCTCGACTCCACAGCCCTGAAATTAACAGCCCTTTATTTCACAAATGCTTTATACTCACTATTCTTACATTTTACTCAGACACTAACTAGTCTCCCTATCTACTTCCCCTAGTTTTTTTTGTACTGTCTTTTTTTGTACTTTCTTTTTTCATTATTGCTGCCGTTTCTCAAAGAATTTCCCCATTGTGGTATTAATAAAGTCTAATCTAATCTAATCTAATCTAATCTAATCTAGTTCTCACCTTCAACCCTCAACTTTCCCCAAGTCACAAAAAAAAAGTTTTGCAGAACTACCTTACCGTGACTCAGACCAGACAGCACCTATACCCCAACACAGACTTGCAGTCATGCTTTGCTGTCACATCCGAAAACAGACTTGTTGAGGCTGTAGCCAGTGCCACTAATCCGTTTGATCTCTGCAATGCCTCCGATCCATTTCCATCTGCAATGCACCGTAATCAATGTGCTTCCAGCTCTGGAGAGAAAGATGCTTTATTGCCACCTTTCAACCACTATGAAATTTGACCATATCTGATCTTTTCTGTATCGCCAACTCTGAAATGGATAAAGATCAGAGACTGCATTGGTGTTAAGCTTGTGTGTATCTCTGTTTGACTCAGGACAGAAGTTTCAGCTGGGCAGAATTAGTTGGAATTCATGTCCTATTGCTGATGTCATAGCAATAAGTAGGAGTGTAAATCACTGCCCGCAAGGCGATTTGATTGGATTACGATTGAGGGGAGGATTCATCGCATCAGAAAATTCATTCATTTCTATCACGATAACATTTAATTACCCAACTATTTGGTTAATTTAATCTAAATTAAATTAAAATCTTTTTGAACTACAATGAAAAAAAATATCACAAATATTACCCTTAATTACACACTATCAATGGAATACAATGCTATTATTTACAGGGAGAACACGCCAGTGTAGTGTGCCAAAAGGTCAACTACTGACCTGTACACAAAAAAAGAGAAAACTTTGCTTGATTGAGGGTGGGGTGGGGGGTTGACAGTAGTGAAACTTGCCAAGCTTGCCAGCGCATATTAGCAGAATAACATTACCTCATTTTTATAGTGCAGAAAACAAAACATGAATATGCAGGCAAGATTTAATAATGAATTATAAATGTCGTGGACCGGTACTTTCAGACCTCTTCTAATTTGTAAACGAGCTGAAAAAATCTCTCATCCTTCACTGCAGCAAATGGCCAATGCAATCATCTCTCTTATTTTAGTAATTGTGCCTTCAGCTCTTGTGCTGTTAACTTTGAACATTGATAGTTTAAATATTGGCTGGCAATATCAGCCAAGATTGACACATCGGACCTATGCAATATCTTGATTTTTAGCAAGTATTGGCCAAAACCCATATGGTAACCAATATGCAATAATATGCAAATGTTATCCATTTCAAAACCTCTGCTTAAGGCATTAAGTCATTTGGGGCAACCATCCAACGTACCCCGGCATTTTTTGACTCAACCACTATTCCACCATGAATGACTAATTAATACCTCATTGCCTTTTTAAAAACTAAATCAATTCATTAGGTGAGCTGGATGTGAAATGTAACAATGTACATGGAATGCTTGAGGTGCCCCTGAGGAGAGGTTTAGGAACTGAAGCCATGTTATTTGCCAGCTAGTTGCCACCTCAGAGCCTTGACCATTGCTACCATATCTAACAAAAAGAATGACTTTTTTACACTACAAAAGAGGCATTTCCGAAAGGCATTATAGAGCAAAGATTAACTCAACCATCACGAGTTGCTCTGTGCGACAAAACCGGGGCAGATTTCCCAAAAGCACGGCAGTATAAAAATCATCAGGCGGCACTTCCTTTGCAAATATTAATAACCCCCATCATCCCGCATTTTGGAAATTCACACGCCATCGCTTTTACTCCGCATGTCCACCTGCAGCACATGGTAGTAGAAACAGTTATTTTTAAGGAGAATTTTGCCCAGCAAAAATCGATTGACGTTATAGGTCGATGCAGCCGAATAGCCAACTTAATAATCAGTTCATCACGATGCATCTTTATACACCTGGTACTAAGGCAAGGGGTTAAAATACAAACATCTGCAAACAAACAAATTCCATTCTTTCTAGATACGAAAGGTTTGACTAATATTTGAAGAGACCACATAAAAGACTAAAATTTTGAATCAAGATTTAACACTCAGTTGTTTCTCACTCAAGTTATACAATAAGTCATTTTCTAACAGTATCAACGTCAAATAAAATTTTCCCCTAATTTTGAAATCATTAACTAAATGACTACTTCTTTTCTCCACATTTCAGCTGAAGTATATTTTAATCTGGCTAGTGAATGGTTGCTGATCTTCTATTATGTAAACCCACTGTTGGCTTCCTGTCTGATTTTACCTATTGTTTTCAGCCTGGTCCTCATCTATGGAAATGCAATGCTATTCATTATTTGGAGCATAGGGGCTAATTTGTTCCTATTGGCAGAAATCAAGAGAACAGTATTCTGGGTAGTATTACGTGTGCTTCCTGTTCTGTACTTTGTGACACACGATGTATGGAAAAAAGACATATTACCCTTTTTCAGACTGCAGGAAAATGGATTACAGTTATTCAGAACTCTGGGTTTCATGTTTTCAGTTGGATCCTAAGTCACCCTGAACATCTTTTCAATACGGTGAGCAAAAGCCATTGTCAAAATCTGGGAGAATGGACCCCCCATCTAGGCCTATATAACAGAATTAGTAAAAATGGATATAATATGTCTTAAGCAAACAATACCATACAGAAGTGAAAGCAAACACCAAAATACATAACACAGTGCAAATCAAATACTTCATTTCCCACAGTTGAGTAGAAAAAAAAGCATGCAGTACATTCGCCAATACTCTGCATACTATGCGCAGAAAGTAAATAAGTCAGATGTATTATTTACATTCTCGAAAGTGGAATTGGGAATGTAGTCATTCTGGTACAAACAGCAACAGCTGAGTAACTAAAGTCAAAAATCCAAGGCTGCATGCTGTTTCTAAACCGAGTTTTATGTTAATTATGTATTTTAAGCAAAATACCATCCTACCAACACAAACTAAATTTCCCCAAAAATGACAGGTTTTCCTTAAATTATTCTGAGAGCTCAAAAGACCCATGACGCCACACAGACCCCGGAACAGCTTAAGGCAGAAACAACTAAATATTCAGCATATTAAAAAAAAATGTCTCCGTTCATCGGGCTGTCAATTCGCCAGACTGACACTTTAAGAATTAAAGGCCTGTAAAAAAAGGACCAACACATTTATAGCTGTTATTGATGATCCAGGCAGGAAAATAAGTCATGCAAGCACAGAAACTGGGGCCGTGCATCACAATCAAGCCCCTGCTCTGTGAATCAATTAGGCTTCGCGTCCTTGTCATGCCTCCGCACTGACACTTAAGTAAACGATGTAATCTGCTTCTGTCCCGTCGTTCAAAATTGATTTCATGTAAATGGTCAGTGTCGTGGATTGTAATCCGATTCCCGAACATGTTTACACACGACTGGTTGTAAATTACACGGCATAATTATGGCACATACGGAACCAGGCCATATGTTTTGTATTTGCAAGCCAAACATTTATTTTTGCTTACAATTACAGCTTGGTGAACAACAAATTTAAAGGCTACTTCAGGGTACTGCTATAGTGTGAGGAGTGCATGGTCAAAAAACAGAAAAGGATCGCGTATGTTTGACTAAAAGGTTAAAGTCAGTGTTTTTACTGAATATATATTTTTACCCCGAAACGAAAGCGAATGACCGAATAACTGAGTCACACAGAAAATAACAGCGTCGTATAAAAATATCGCCCAGTGTGATCGTCCTGTTTATTACCACACGCCTTATTAATGGGCAGCAAAGCTTTTCCTTTAGCCAGCTGCAGCAATTAGCGTAGTTTAACAAACTGTGTCTGTTTCTTTTAACTTCAAAGACATTGAAGAATCATCGCTGCCACATAAGCAGGGTCTCTGATACTTGTTTGCTTCAGGATATTGTAGATCTGGCAGTGCATCAGTATAGTGAATGAATGACTGAATTAATGGATCTGATACAACAGTTTATAAAGCCATAAATGACAGCCGAGGTCTAGAGGAGGGAAACAAAACCATTTTCGCGTAAATAGCAAGTCATAGCCCAAAGTCAGCTATTCGATGCGGTACAGAAAATTTTAATTAATAAAACTGACTTTAATATACATTAAAAAAAATCCATACCTAGTAGGAGCAATTTCACTTCCCTAGCCGCTTTTTCTCCGTCTTCACGAAGATTTTTGTCAATTATTTTTGATCTCTCGGCGGCCGCTTTATCTTCGGCGCTTACAGTACAGCCCATGGTTCCGAGAAAAGCCACGAAGACCTAAAGTTGTGCTCTCAAAATATTTCGAATTAAAATGCACTTTTGTCTTTGCTGTTTTCGGGGGCAGCTGCTGTCCTCAGTCCACCAGTCTTCCGTAATGGATGAGAAAATCCGTTTATTTGTAAATAATACAAAGACAATTTCCTTGTTGCATCAAGGTGGATAAAAACGTAGGTCTTGCAAAATCCTTAAAAGTATCTTCAACCTTCTTTAAATCGGCCTGTTTTACACGCTAAATTAATCGACCTTCAGGTGGAGAACAAATATATTTCTAATTGATTCAAACTTCAACGATATGGCCAAAACGTGATCGCGAACCGCTAAGTAGCACTTCACTAGTTTACTCTGACCTGGGAATAATTATCACTTCTTTCGAAGTATCGCCCAGACCCAGAAAAGTTGCCCGGGCAAAGGCTCCTTGAGAGAATTTCTACGTGCATGCAGATATACGAACAGGAAGATCAGCGATGGAGCTACAACGGCACGTCGATCCCAGCCGCAGAAACAGCGCTTAGTGGCCGAATGAGACACCAGAGAGCAAAGGCAATCGGTCCGATTTACTGTTAACCTGCCTCCTCCACAGATCTATTTCCTCCAGATTTTCCTAATCAGAACTCTTCTATATTGGTATCGAGCTTCGTCGTCTCCAACTTTTCTTCTCCTCTTGCTCCGATTGATTTCGTTATGATTAGTTTTTTTTTTTTTGCTTTATTTGTCGCCACACCCGTTAACAAGTTCCTCTTTTTCCCCCAGTCAACCAAAAGCTAAGAATTCGTAAGCAACCCGCACATCGAGCAGCCGCTAGTCAACCACGCCGCCCACCTCGTTTGCATTATGGGAAATGGAGTCTTAAATATAATTTAAAAAAAATCAAGCAATGGATAGTGTACTTTTCCGGATTGCTGTTAATTAATTATCGATCTATGGATTTTCTTTCTATAAATCCAGGAGAAATATATTTAAATTAGCGAATGGTAACTACGCATGTAATAAGCATTAAACATCCCAAATCCGATTTAAGATTTAAAATATTATGTATTTGCATATAATGTTTTATTGACATCTTTAATAGTAATATGCCGAAAATTTCTCAGAAATTAAAGCCATACTGAAAAGATGCATTTTTGTAAAGACGGGGGGATTGGTTACGTATTTAGCAGGAACTGAGGAAATATGAAACGTAACATAAATGTGTACTTTGTAGCCGAAAAGGCAGTAGAAGGTGTGAGCGAATATCGCAAAACACTCGTGAAGACCTACACAGAATTTCGACTATGATGACTATGGAAATCGCTGGGAACTTTCATTTGGTGACATTCCATAGCCTATTTTATATGGATACGTCCAGCTATTTCCACGCTCTCGACTGATATACTATTTAGGATTCACCTAACAAATACAACGGGAGCATATATGCAAAACAAGTTTGTGTGTAGCCCAATCGCTGGTTCTAGACAGACAGTGGGCTGGGGGTACTGAAGGTGAACCGTAGTAGATTTGATATAAAACATATAATTACCCCGTAGACTATCTCGTTTAATAACTGGAGTGCCTCGCATTCGATGGGCTGTTTGGAGTGTCCATTTAACCCATTAATTAAGTCCCATATAAAATTTGTTGCTGCGTTAGGCTGTACACCTTGAATTATGACATTCACAAATGTATCTAATATGAACGGATGTCATTTGGCGGTTGAATGAACATGTTTGGTATTTCTTTGTGGAGGGTTTACTCCTGCCTTGTGGCCCATGCTGCCTGGGCTAGGATCCAGCAATAGCGCGACACATAAGTAGCAAGAAGACGAATGCATGGATGTTTAAAATGATTATCTGGTCTTCTGTTCTGAATAAAATTGCGCCATCTTGTGTCGTACGTTTTCAGGAACAGCCAAGGATAACAGAGTTTGAATAGACCGACCATCCATTCATCCATCAATGTTCCAAACGTTTATTACAGCCTGGATTCTATATGGCAGGAAGAACAGAGAAGAAGGCAGTTGGATACTTTGGATGCCAGTAGTTTGAGTAGATATAACAGCAGGATATTTATTTTTTAAGACGAATTGTAAATATGCATGTAATTTTGACCTTTACAGTCAAAAAAAGCTCCCAGGATGAATTTGAGAGTTCTTGTGTGAAGTGATAAAAAATACAAATGACAAAGATATGTAATATCTGACTGCCTTCACCAAGTCTAGTGTGAAATATAATTTATTCCATGAAATAATAGGCAAGACGAAAATGAAACACATTTACAAATGATTACATTTGTTTTTATTGTCAAACTAAAACTTTTTACTATTTACACTATACAAGCTGGATATGCATCAATGAATATAAATGGTTTACTTTTATATACATCGTATATAAATGTTGCCTAATATACCAAGAAATGGCAAAAATCATACATTTATTTTATTACCACTCATTTTATGATCAAGAAAACAGCCATTGCCAAAGAAAAGTTATTTATAAGTAACATGGGACATTAGCATGTTTTAAAGTCTTGTATTATTATTAACAGGTATCCAGTTTCTAGTGTCCAGTCAATTAGAATAGAATAGAATAGAATAGAATAGAATAGAATAGAATAGTTTCCTCACAGTTTCTAGGGATGGTGCTCAAATGCTAGAGTGAGAACTTTGGGCCGTACTGCATATAGTAGAAGTTTATTATTGTATACAAAACCACTGTGTATAATAATAATAGGGATATGGCATTTTGACAGTTCTTCCTCTTTCTTAAAATCACTGCTCACAGAACTTGGTAGAATCAGATGAATAAATAAAGTTTTTTGTTATTTATAAATATCCACAAATAACTGAGAAAATATGTTTTAGGGCAAATGTGTGATTTTAAGTGGGACCTGTAAGGTGAAATCTAAAATCATTGTGAATAGTATTACTATGTACTTTCATAATATGGGTGTCTCTCGTTAATACCGCTACATGAGTAGCATGATAGGCAGAAGTGATACATTTCTGCTGTGACCTTTCAAAATTCCGCTCTAACCCAGAATCTACCATTTGACTAAAGAAGGAAATAAAATATAAAATTTATTAGTCCTGAGCCAAACTTTTGGACAAGCAGCCGATACAAATAGGTCTTCATCTGTTTTAGATATGCAATCCCGATAGGTCAGGGTCACAAAGATGCCCCAAGCTGTCATTACGGATGAAGCACAAAAGAAACACGCTACAAATTTTTTGTGAACTTAAAAACAGAATTATCGGTGCTCTGTAGTCAGCATAAATAAGTGGAAGCATAAGCCAGACACAACAACCTCAAATAGCTCACTAAAATGTGCAGATGCGCGCTTTTTCAAGAAAGAGGAACGTTTTGCAGTAATAAACCTGTACAGATGGAAACATACACAAAAGCCAATCAATTAAGTTCAATTATTGAACACAAAAGAGGAAGGGACTTCCATTTAATTGTCGAAAAAAAAATTCAATAAAATAATGAAATACAAAACAGCACTTTTTATTACACAGCTCTAAGACTAGAAATCAGTTTATAGACTCACAAGCAAAGCCTAAATAGTAGATAAAGCAATAGCATCTATACTTTATACATGAACCTTGTGATTTCATACATTTTTTTCAGTCTCCCAATTTTTCATGTGCCCAACCAAAGAAGCTTATAAATTAATATGTTACTGGTTTATGGCAGTTCAACTACTGTCAAAATAATTTACTCTGACCATATAAATGCAAGTACTTGGATGCTGTCGTATTAGGGACTTTCTATAGTGTTCATATATGATTACATAAGTGGGTTACTAAACAACACTTAATCATATAACTGCAGAAACTAGGATACAAATAAACCCTGTTTCATTATCATATATAACTTTTATCCTTGACCCTACATTCCTCAACTGTTGATATGCAGCAGTCATTCATTCCACTGCTGTATTGTGTTGTTTTGAGTGAAGGATATTTTCAGTAAGTCCCATTCAATAGCGGTTTACCGGGTGGGAAAAAAGCCAAAATGGAAATTCAGTTCTTATTACAAGGAATTTGGACTTGTGAAGATTATTTTCCAGACTTGAAATGGAACACAATTATGTTTCATAATTGAAAATGATTTAATAATAAAACATTTCTGAAAGTATTACAGCGATTATATTTGTTGTCTAAATTCAGACCAGGTTACTGGTGAAATGGTTTGTTTCAACAAACAAAATGTTTTTATGTATAGATGATAAAAGAGTAATGGTGTATGCAGACCACAGCTAGGTAGTGGTTATATTTATATGTGTTCAAAAATGCAAATAATTTTCCGCTTATTTTTACACAGTTTGCAGAAGGATCACAACAATCCTTCTAATGAACGTCTTTACAAAGCAAAGTATTTTTCACCCATTTACCTTAGGTCAGCCTGCTGCTGCTAGATTTTTCATAATCATTTCCTTTGTTTTCATTTGTCATCACTGCTTGCCTGTCGCTTCCTTTACCCGGTTGAACTTATGCTTATTATTATATAACATACTGCTGGGTAACAGACAATGGAGCAGGTACCTGCGCTCCATAGCTATGAGGATGCACCAATAGTTTAGGTAATCTGACAAACAAAATTAATCAACAGTCATCAAAGGAGCTATTTGCTGAATAAGTTAAATCTTAGGTTGCTTTATCTATTGATTATGTCTCAAGTGAACAGATGTATAAATTATTGACTGTTATATTAAATGCCTTGAATATAATTTAAAAAGCTGGAAACACTTTACTTGAGGGGGCACAAATAACTTAGTTACTCAGTTACTACTCAAGAACTAATCATGAAATATGAACACTTATGGTTTATTAATGATGAAGTAAGGATTTACTACTACGTTATTTGTGCCCCCACATAAAATGTTACCAAAAAGTTTAATTCATCCATGTTTTTGTTGAGATCCACATGCAAGCTAGCAAAGTTCAGCTGGTTAGATGTTACTTATGCATGTATGTACTCTGTCCATTTTATAGAGATATAGTGAATGTCAGTGTCATAGACTCCTAACTCTCAGAGCCACATACCACCACTTCACTGGCCCTTTTCACTTTTACCTTGATTTCTAGAGAATTTATATTATCTTTTATCTAACTTGCCCACTACACTAACCCTGGTGCATAGACACCATCTTATTTTTACTTTGATATCTTTTGTTTTTCCCAACAAGAAGCAGGTTATTCTTCAAATTTCAATAACTGTCTTTTGGTCTTAAGTGCTTCTCTATTAAACAGTCAAGTGGAAATTTTTAAAGATGAATGACCTACGAGCTTATTTCTTCAGTTCGGTGTTGTTGAACTGCTCAAAGAGAAACATGCCTTTAAAAAAGGATCAAAATCCTGCCAGACTGGAAACAGTTATATGCCATTTAACGAGTCACCTGCATCCCACTCAGTCACACTAAAAACACACTCTACTCACTCAAAAACAGTGGTTTCCAACCTTGGGTTTATGACCCCAGGGGGTCCGCAGAGCCCTTGTACGAGGTCTGCTGCCCCCCCTCCAGTCCGGAGTTCAGTCATTTAGTCACAAATGCCTTAATGCTAGGGGGTCCTTGCCCTTGTCTCTTTGGCTGTCCCCGGTTAAATAAGAGTTGAAAACCTCGACTCTAAAATACCAATCATGCTGCAATGTCCTCTTTCGTGTTACCTCCTGCCGTCAGAATACTGTAATTACGCGCATAATGAAATACAGCCATCTCACCACTGCCATATTTGGTTGAAGCCGTGTTGCATCACTCCGAATATTTATCCAAGAGGGAGAGTCAAAAAGTGTATGAGAGCACCAGGCCCAGCCTGAGCTTGGAGCAGCAGCCCTGTGGACCGAGGGCGGCCAGCAGCTGCAGACCTGCTGCATTATCCCTTCTCTCCAGTGACTTCCATTCCACACTATTGCACACTACAATTCTCAAGTCCTAATTACAACATAGCATGTCATTATAGCTTTAATATACAAAATACTACATATCTTTCCTCTTATAAGTATGCTCCAGCATTTCAAAACCCATTAGCCTCCATCTGTGTTTTTGTACAGTACAATCTATCGTTTATAAGGTCCTGGGATGGTAGGTGAGGAAAAGATGCGTGTGTGCATATGTGCGTATGCATATCCGTGGGTTTCTGCGAGCCAGCTTCAGTCTGAACTATATTTCTTAATAATGTTTATAATGCTCTTTAAAATAAACCAATTAAAAAACACAAAGTCTAAGGGGTTAGATAAGTGCTATTTCGTGAACAGCAAAAACAACAAAAGCTGCCAGAGCCCTTCTTCACTGGCCAAGCGGTGCTTCATAGCAGCCTGGCCGGCATTTGGAGGGAATAGTGCTTCTTTGAAATAAACGAAAAGCAACTGAAAAATATGTTGACCATCGCACTGTGTGTCCGCCCTCATAAACACATGCAAACATACGCACACGCACATACATGGAGGCGGAACCTAATGGCCACGGCTGGCATTGCTGCTCCCTGTTGTCCAGTCGATGATGATGAAGCTCAAGCTCATTATCATGAAGAGGAATCCAAGAGTAGCGAAGCAGGCAGCCTGGAGAGAAGAAGCAGGATAAGGGGAAAAGAAGCCAGATTGATTCTTCAAACTAAGTCTAATGTGGATATTTTCACTACCCTGAATAGCAAAGTCTGAGATCATATTTAGAGAGACTGCATAGCTCCAAAGAGTACACAGACTTAAAGACGCACAGTGTGACATGAGGAGAGATAGTAGCAGACGCTCACCATAATTTTGGGGGTAGAGCGCATTGGCTCTTCATCCTTGGGCACGATGCGGATGTAGAAGATTGCGGGGAAGATGAAGATGAGGCATGGAGCAGATGTGGCACCTGAAGATGGTGGACAAACAGATGCGGTCACTGAGATGTTAATGCAGTATGCAGTATGCTCGGTATAGTCACTGAATGTCCTGCTGGAAAAGGGACTTAGTGTTTACTTGAAAAGTGGAAGGTTTTTGTTGATGTATAAGTACAAGGGTCAATTTCCTGGATGACAATTACAAACAAACAACCCACAGAGGACAGTAAACTGGGACAACAGGCCCAGACACGTATGCTATCTCACAGGCACCCTGGATTCGAAGCAACAACATCTATCCAGCAAATTCTCTCCTCCCCAATCCACCATACAGCTTCCCGGTATGTTTGCAGAACGTGAGGTGATGTTTACAAGTAGTGCAAATTATTGACTCATGTCTGCCACGTTATCTGTCTGTTAGCAAGAACTGGTTAAACAAATGGTCTTTTTCCATTAATGGGACAAGGCCAGTTCAAGTGTGGCACCACGAAAACAAGGGTGAAGGTAACTGAAAAGAAAAAAAACATTCAACGTGGTCTCTAAAAATCCTGAGGAACTTTGGGAGGCTGTTAAATTATTATTAATTCCAGATAAGAAAGTATTACACAGACTGTTATTACTGGAATAAATACATCATTTATTGTACCACCAGAATAAAGAAATTGAAATGTAATATCCTGCAGAGAATATGCCTAAAATTACTATGACATATAGTATGTCTAAGTCTAAGAAAATGATGTTTAAATTATCTTCATATTGGTACAAAACTGTGATATTATGTCTCTCAAGGTGTGTCAGCTTAGCCATTTCAAAACCTCAGCAACCGTCCAATATACCCAAGTATTTTTTGACTCAACCCCTAGTGCACCTTGTATGGCTAATACACACCTCACTGAGTTATTCAATTAATTTATTAATCAACTGAGCTGGTGGTGAAATTTAACGTACACATGGAATGGCCGGGGTGCCCCTGAGGAGAGGTTTGGGAACTGAAGCAGTTTTCTTCTGTCCATCCAGCAAGTTAGCTGTAACGTTTGAGAGTTGGGGTACTGTGTCTTGGAGAAATGACTTTGCAATGTCTTGCTTTGTATAGATATTTTATATAAATAAAACATACAATGAGATCCCAGGGGGTTATTCCACAAAGAAGGACATCTCAGTTAGCTGGGTTAACTTGAGCTAGAAGTCATGATTGTCCAATAAGACTTAAAGTTAGGAGCATTCCTATTGGACAGTCATTACTTCTGTAAGATATATGGATATTAGTAATAATACAAATGTTAATGGTTATTCAGTGAGTATCACTGCTGCCGCACACGTCCAGGTTGGGGATTTCAGTCCCACCTCTGCTAATTTTGTGTGGAGTCTGCATGTTCTCCCCATAACGTGTGAGTTTTCTACAGGGTAAACAGTGTCTGTAATTTGATAACATTTAGTGAAAATGTGTGTCGGTGCCCTGCCATGGTCCAGCATGCCATCCGGGTTCGGCCCTGTGCTGCCTGGGAAATGCAGCGGGAAGTTGGATGAATGGACAAATACTCATACTTGTAAGTCAGTTTAAAGAGGGTATGTATGTGTGTATATGTTATACTGAATAATAGAATTTATATCAATAAAAAAACTTTCATTATGTTTATCTAATTCAAAGGACTTTGATGCAGTAAGTGGGAACTAAACACATGTAAGACACTCTTGGAAAAACCTCCATAAGGGCTGACAGTAGTGCAGAAATATGGGCAAGCGCTGCTCTGGTAATGAAGGCACTCACCTATGATGCCAAAAATGCCCAGGATGTCAGGAGCAAAGATGACCAGCATGTTGATGCAGGTGAGTAAGATGACAGCAATGGAAATGTGCCTTAGCCAATTAAAGTCCTTGTTGGGGAACAGCATTTCCTGGATGGCCCGTCGCACCTGGGGGGGGAGGAGGAGGTGGATGAAAAATGGAAATGGTAGCCCTTATCATCACATTTTAATGCCCAGTCAGAACGTTATTCTGCTCCAAAGTAGAGTTAAACTGCTTAATGCCGATTGAGAAAGAGAGAATATTTAAACCCATCTAAGGGCAAGTTACTAACACCACACTGACAGGTGATAAATCAGAGTGGAGGATCAAAGGGCAGATGAGAGCGCAGAGTTCAGTGGGAACTCAGAGGGAACGGGCCACTCACAGGGAAGAGCACAATGGGCACGGTGAGCGTGACTGCGGTGAGCACGGCCACACGCACACACAGGATCAGGGTGTCATAGGGGTCGATCCTGCTGTAGGTATGCAGCAGCTCCGCCTCCACTTTGTCTGGGGGGAGAGAAGGAGTGAGATGCTCCGACATAGACACATGCTGGAAGAACGAGTGTCTCTGCGTAAACGGTAGCATGGGCAGCCTTCAGGCCTGTCGACTCTGGACATTCTCATGATTCAGTGCAATTAAGGACACAAAAACAAACTTCTTCTATTTACATTTCCTGTTTTGTGAATCAGATATATCCACCCTATTACAGCAGAAGGACACACGAGTGGAAATCACTTGTAATACCATACAATGATCTACAGGGGGCATCATTACATAACTTTCCCCTTCATGTTTGAGTGACCTAAAAGACGTTTCATTAAACCGTTGGTAATATTATACAGTCTTTCATACAGACAGCTACCCAGATCATGTTTCTTTTTTATAAGACATAATCCTGAGAAAACAAATCAAGAAGCAGAGAATGTCCAAAACATCCACATGCAGAGAACAGGAGGTGTGAAAAGCATTTAGTGACTCTGGCAGCCTCACCATAGAAGGTCAGGTATCCAAACAGAGCAGCAAGGAAGTACATAGTGTACATGATCAGAATGGAGACGTTGGAGACATGCTGCATCTTTCTCTTGGAAGGGCTGAAATAGATGATCACCATCAATACACCGCACTCTTAGCCTTCATCACTCCCAGCACACGTTTGGATTTATAGTTTTTTACAAGTTTGGAATACATATAAGCATAGGTTCGCAGGCCATTTTTAGTACCGGAATGTGTTACATCCGGCGCCTGGGCAGCATATATATGCAAGAAGAATCACACGTACTTGCGCAGCTCAGTATAGATGGGCAGCACCTCTGGGTGGCAGACGAAAGCGAAGGCCAGGATTGGGATAGTGTACGCTGTCTAATAAAAGAGGGGAAAAAGCAGCATCAGGAGTCCAGTCAACCACCCATAACGTACAATCAACTAATACACACGGGAGTTACAGACCACGTTGCCCTCCAAGGAACAGTCATCATTTTATTCTTATACCGAAACTGTTGTAGGTGGTATTGTTGCTTTCTGTTTATGTATTTTGTGTACCTGTTTACTATGCAGTCTGTAGCTACAATCTCCTCTGGGACAATAAAAGCATTCTGATTCCGAACAACAAAAGATCCAGCAGTTAATTAATACAGTATGTCACAGACTAGCGGCTGGCAGAGTTGTGACAAGGGACCAAGAAAATTTTTCAAAGGCGTTCGTATATTTCTAAGAACCAATATAATTATTGTTCAGAATATGGCATTTTCTGCGACTCTTTGTGCACGTGGAATCTGAACAATGAAAAAGGAGGACAGAGAAGGAACTGGTACCTTCACATTTTGTGGCTGCAAAGACTTTTAGGAAGACTCCAGATAACTGACCTAACTGAGCTATTTTGGACATTCAACAAAGTTGAAAGTAAACCAGGAACAGGATGACCAGCAACATAATCAATGGACTCAGTGATCACAACAATGAACATGCCTTCAGGAAGCCTACAGACTTGGACAGGAGGTAGAATGTTCTGGAAGAATGCTGTCTGCATATTCAGCAGGGCCTGACATTGGCTTGATAATAATAATAATACAAAATTACAATGTTATTATAACAGTGTTTCTCAACCCAGTCCTCAGCAAACCCCAGCCAGTCCACGTTTTTGCTCCCTCCCAGCTCCCAGTGCACCTGTACCAGCTATTCGGTGTTCCTGATTGGCTGGGAGCTGGGAGGAAGCAAAAACGTGGACTGGCTGGGGTTCTCTGAGGACTGGGTTGAGAAACACTGTATTATAAGCATGAATTTTTAGTACTAGATTTATCGACAAGAATTATAATGGTAGCCCTAGTGGGTGGATTAAACTTTGCTAAAAAATCCAAAGCGCTCTACAATCGATACATTAGAACAAGAAATCTTAAAGTCTAGAGGTAATGGGTAAAAATGTGGATAGAACCAGTTGAGCAGCACTGAATGCATCTGTACTTTGCACTACCTGTGAATTGACAGTGAACATGCGAGGGCCGCAGTGGGAGTCATCTTCGACGTGGCCAAGGCGATAGCCGACAGAAGCCTCAGAGCTATTGGAATGAAGGAGCACTACCGTGCTGTTGGTTGAGTAGTCGTCAAAGGGGCAAGGAATCTGAAACTTTTTGTAGATGACCTACAGAACAAAAAATGGGGTGGATCATATAGCCTAAAATAATGCATGCACCCCCCACATCCCTTTATTCCAATGAATAAAATAAGTATATAGACCATATTTTTGTTTAGAAAGCTTCCCAAGGTATCAATATGGTTATAATCATGTGTGCTCATGTGATAACTTACCGAGATGAGGAAGAATACCATACAAGTGAGGGAGAACCCGCTGGTGTAGCCCAAATAGCCTGAATGTTAAAACATCACAGGGAAGTTATTCAGTATTAGGCTAGTAACCCTCTTCATCTAAGGCAAGTGAAACAAATGCAGCCACACAACACTGTAACTAATAGTAGTATTTTACTTTCTAAGAACACTGAAAAATGTCTACAAACATTCTACAAACACCCTAACATCTCTTGCAGTTGAACTGTGTGGCTCTGAGTGTTCTTGTTTTCTCACTTTGACAATTGTCAAGTGACAAGGAATGTAATTGTGAAGACTTTCTGCAGAACTACTGTCAGTGGCAATGTATCAGAGAAGAGCTTCCTGTCAATAATTTACTATTTAACTATCACAGCTTTAGGTCTGAAGGAACAATTAATAACATAATAATAATATTTATTTAATATTAATATATTTCATATTAATATATTTAACAACAAACATTAAACAATGTAATAGTAATGAAATTTCTGTGTTTCAAATACTGAGACCAAAAGTTCTAGGTATCCCTGACACCTAGAAATATCTTTAGGAATACTACAAGAAGAAAAATATCTGCGTGTTGTGCAGGCAAGTCTGGTCACAGTGACTAACTTTAGGAAAAAATTTCTAGAACGTTTGCATTGTTCCTGGAATTTTGGCACAAATCTGGTGGAGCAGGAGAGACAGTAGAAAATACTCATTAAGGCCACTGAATAGTGAGTATGATGATTGTACTCTCATTAAATAGGCATGTAATAGAGAATGGCCAGCAAAGACCCCAATAGTGTGGCAAATTGCATATACTAGACCTGCACATATTATTTGGCATGTATATGAGTGGCATGACAACAGCTGCAGAGACAGGACAACTGACCCCAAGAATTACCAAACAAGTTCAAGTGTCAGGTTACCAAAATTCTTTTGGATAAAAGAGAGCAACAGGAGAAAACTCTTTGAGATTAACCTGCTTGCAGGCATGCCAAGGAGAGACTTTTAGTTGACCAGTACTTTCTGCCTCATAGTACCTGACTATTGGTGTCAGCCATTTTCTCTACATTCGGGGTGCTTGCATAACTGCGCACTGCATCTGCCTTAAGGGGTTTGACAGAACTAGCAGACAGCAGTATGTATATGGGGAAATGGCAATTGAGTCTCTGTGATGTTGCTTTAAATCCTCACTTAACAAAAGAAGAAAAACCCCAAATCCACTGGGACCAACAAGAAATATAATCAGAGTAATATGTATAAGCTGAATATGCCATCAAAGAATATTAAAACCAATTAAAAGCATAGAAATGTTATATTATCATGTTTTTTTGTGGGTGATCGAATATATGGTTGAAAATGTATATATCTAATTATTTGTAAACTCCTAAAGCATTATGAGGAAAGAATATATATATTTCATTCTTATGATAATATGAGCAAAAGTTTCAAACTTGCCACAAGTCTCACTTAGGGGACAAAATTCCTGGATGCTGCCAGCACTCCACAATAATGAACACTGTAACGAGGAATGAGGAAACGGTACGGAAATGAGAGAGCAACTTACCCAGCTGCTTCATCAGGGCCAGGGGCAGAATGATGCTGGCTGACACCATAACCACAAGGTAATTACCATTCAGGTACCACTCTCTGAAACAGAGAAACAGTAAAAGGAAGCCATGATGAGTAATTTTACTTTCTGTTTTACGCAGGTGGTGTGTAGACAGGAAGTTGACAGCATCGAAATCCCAGATCAGTGATTGTTACTTGAGAACAGCTACTGCAATTTGTAGTTTTTTCGTCCCATAGAGAATAGTGGCTATAACAGATGTCATTTAGAAGCATGTTTAGATAGTATGAATAATTATCTCGCATAACCTCTGCGATAAATGTGTCACTTTGAAGGAGTAGCAAGAGGCAACAATTCTGGCTGGCTGGTTTCCACACGCTTGTTGTGATTTTGACTGCCAAGGCTTATAAACCACAGTACACCCCTCAATCTCACCCTCTTAAGCCACGTGAAGAGAGCATGACAAACCACAGGAGGTAGCAACAGAACATGTAAAGAGCATGACTGGGTGACAGGGCGCTAATTTTAGACTAGCTCGCTGCGTCTGGCTCTCGCAGACAGGCACACCGGCAGCAGAAAGCACACAGGGCAATGCTGCCTGGCTATATCAGGCCAGCCATAAGAGGAAAAGTATTTGTCACAGCAAAATACCAAATGCATTTAAAGTTATATACACATGTATAAGTTGACCTTTTCTAAACAACTGGAATGTTTTACTACTCTGGATGGTGTTGTTCCCAGTATTTATTTCTACTCAAATCATTCTTATTCAGATCCAATTCATTGACCACTCCACAAGACATGCTGCTTTCACAAAATAAAACGTTTGGCTGACAACCAACTTCCGCTGCGCATTTAACAAAGAAAATGTGATCTTTTGCCAATAAATGCATCACCAGGACAAATCTTACTCATATATGGCCACGAAAAATCTTATTAATTTCCTCAGTCATTACTTTTAACCTGCTAAGCTTCAATAAGCTTATTAACGTGTCAACAAAAGCACCTGGGTAGTTAACATAATAAGAAAAGAAATGCATGAATATGTTTCCTGGCTGATTATCAACTATTGGTTTTATATTAGAAGGTTGTAAAAAGCATGTGTAAGACAGAGGATGCATGACGATGGCATGTCCCCTTCATCCACCTAATGTCAATTATTAATGATATAAAGCAGTATTTTGTTCTGACCTGAGCCGAGACCAAACTCATAGACTTCGCTGCCCTTCCTTAGCTCATTTTGTTCATCCCCCTGAGCTGAAGAAATCCCCATTGGATGGATCTGTGCACCAGTTTGACCAAAGTGAGGCCTACAATGTGCTTTTGAGGAATATCATCACATTGAGTGAAGGATTCAGCCTTTGCCTCCTGTATTATTAGGACTCTCTCCCTAAAACTGGAATTCAGACAAAAATCCAGTGCAATCTGCATTGCCTGAAATGTTATTAAATGCAGTATATGTTCACCAAACACACACCATAGAAATATTTATGAACAAATGTTAAGTTTTGGAGTGGAGGCTCTGAGGCTAGGGATCTGTGCCAGCAACTGGAAGGTTGTGGGTTCGAATCCCGTGAATGCCAGGAGTAATTCTACTCCATTGGGCCCGTGAGCAAGGCCTTTAACCTGCAATTGCTTCATCCTGGGTATGATGTTAATCTACATCCAGCCCTATAAGAAGGTCCTCCAATTTACAGGGAATAACTTGGGGGTGGGTGGCAGGATTGGCACTCCAGCCACTGGAAAAAACACACTGGTCCATTTGAACTGGTGTGGTGCTGAGGTATCGCCTGCACTCCGGTTCTCATCCCTGAGATGGTTTGTCATGTGATGGGTGCAGAAATACACTGTGTCAGTGCATGCTCCTTACCTTAGCAGGAATGGAATTTAGGGATCACAAAATTCCCTGTTACCCTAAAAATATTTGATTTATATAAGGCACTAGACAGGCATTAACTCCTTCCTTTCTCTATTTATTGTGGGGGCAGGTTCGGCTGTAATTGCCACGCGACTTGAAAGACACTAAACATAAGGAGGCTTAGTCCCACACAGCTGGGTCACACATAATTGACCTTTCTTTGCATTTGACTCAGAAGAGAAGAAAGGTATAATTTTACAGTCAAAGAGGGAAAAGTTCAGTGGTCCTTCCCCATTTCTCTGTGTAGCTCTATCTTTCTGCTGGTCATACTGCTGCCATTGTCTCGCCCCACAAAGCCATCCCTCTCAAAACGCGATGCACAAGGTTCATAAGGCTTACATTCAGGTAACTGCAGCAGACTGAAAGCCTCTAATCGCCAGATAGGTCACACCCCATAAATGCCTGCAGAACTTTATTTTAAGTTAAAAAAACAAACAAACAAAAAAAAAAAAACAGAAAATTCAAACCTGCAATTCTATGCAAATGTCTTAGGAATTCAACAAAATTAATGTTTATAAGATCTTCATGTTGGTGTAAAATCACAATATCATGCTATAGTGTGTCAGCTTTCAAAATGTTGCTTAAAGTCAGGCCAGCACTAGCAGCAACCATCCAACACACCTATTTATTTTTTCACTCGACCACTTGGCCATCTTGTTAGGCCAAACAATACATTTACATTTACAATACCTCATTGAGTTATCTGGCACATATAATTAATCAATTAATTGAGCTGGTGGCTAACTTTAAGGAATACATAGAATGGCTTGGGTACCCCTGAGGAGAGTTTTGGCAAATTAGGTATCAGAAATGTTATGAAAATGAGGACTTTGGTTCCAGCCAAATTAATGTTATCATAAATTTTTGCCAAATACACAAAGGGAACACAAACATATTATTAGAATTTACATTATATAAAAAAATATGTGCACATTTAAACATAAAGCATAAAATATCCTGGGAGAAAAACAAAAAAAAATTCTTTGCTAAAACTGTAACATTCATAGTAAATTTTGGTCACTGTCATTTTCAGCAGATGGGTGGTTTTTCCTTCATGCATTCCATTCTGAGACATGCAAGCTACAGATCAGGGATACACAGTCAGATACTTCACAAGCCAAAGTTATTTGAGAACTTTGTCACCGTTTGTTTGGCGTTTTTGGACAGTTGCCAATTGAGTTACGGGCATTTTTTTTTTTAATTATGAAAAATTAAAATGTAATTTTTGCTGCAGAAAATTCTCAAAGATATAATTACAAACCTGTGTGTGTGTGTGTGTGCGCGCGCGCGTGTGTGTTTGTGAAAAAATTGCCTGGAAAACTGGCTGAATTTGAGGCTGATTCAGCATGCTATTGCTCAGCACTCTGAACCGGACTTGGCCTAGATTTAGAGGGGGGGGCGGAACCCTCGCCTGGGGATGGAAAAGCCGCGTTACAGATTTGAGCCACTGACCATAACAGCACCATAGCTTTGAATGGCTGTCAACAAAACCATGCGTGTGGGTTGGATAGCAGTGGAGCTATGCCAGCCATTCCTGTTATCCGCAGGCAAGCTCGACCAATCACACTCACGGACTTCCACCTCACCCCCAGATTCACCTCCGGACACTGGCCAAGGACACCGGCCCCCATGACACTGCCATGCACGACTGGCTGTCCGAGTGTCACAGGGCCAGATACTGGGATTAGTAGTTTATAAGAATGAACTGAATGTTCACATGACAAATAACGGATAAGTAAACTACAGTTTTCATCAGTATGTGTGTAAATTGTGTTCATTTTACACCAGGAACTTTTCACAATACTGGAGTAATATATAGGAGCAAAAGATACAAATCGATTCCTCCTTTATTATCTAAAAACTGGTCAATGACACGTGCAACCAACCCTATATGGGTGATAAAGCCATCAATGACTATGATAGATGTCGGGACTGTAGCCTATGCATTCACGGCTGCCACAACTCCACTTGCCCAAGTGAGTCTCTCAACACTAAGTAGGGAACATGACTCTACCAAAGGACAGTATGTTCAGCGGAGGTGGAGGCCCACCGCTGGGTGTAACTCTTACACTTATCTGGAATCCAACTCAGCTTCTGTTCCAACTAGGCTTCTAGGGCAGAGAAATTCAGGACTTTGGTCCACAGTAATTTTGCCAATTGAATGAGAATACTGATACTCACTCCGTTGATGGGTCTGCTTTCAGGAAAGCCTGGATAACAAGGGGAAACTCTGACTTCACAATATACAGGTAGCTGGACATGGCTGTGTAAGAATGAAAGGCAAGAGAACAGTAATAATTTCAGTGAAAAACAGTAGCAATATTGGAGAAAAAAATCAATTACACAGTTACAACACATTCAGGACAAATTAAGCTCAAACAGGTTTGATAAATCTCTTTAAAAATCTCTTTTAAAAAATGACAATATAGATATATATAGATAATAAACATATAGATATATACACACTCATACATACATACATACATACATACATACATACATTTTGTAACTTCTACAAATACAATACCTTACATTTCCCTGGTACATTTGTTAATGATAGCAAGTAATATACACATTCTCTCTCTCTTTAAGGAGCAATGGATCATTACTATACTTATTTTTAAACTGTAACAGTGTGAAAGTGTGATTTTGCTGATTGTCAAGCAACAGAAATATAGCAAGTGTCGACTCGTGCTGAAGCGACAGACTCACACCTCCAATGTTTTGCAGAGTAATGGCGATACCAGCGGCCATCTTGCCGGGAGTACCAAAGGCACGGAAACCGAGCTGCTCATAGGCCCGGATGCCTAGGAGACGAACACCAAGCATCACCGGGCAACATCTTACCTACCAACTCTGTCCTACATACAACCATGCTTTCCTTCGAGATCTGTTCTTTATGTAGACATAAAGGCAAGAGAGCTTACCCACAATTCCAGATGCTTTAAGCATCAAATGAATGGAATAGGAAGACAGGGCAGCAACAGCACTTAGGAGGAAGCTGCAAGCGGATCAGAAATATTTTTTAGGATTACAAGGTTTGGCAACAAGTGCGGCTTTGAAATGTGCTTTATAAACAAATTTGACTTGACTTATTCATTCTTTTTTCACCATCCGCTTATGCTATACAGGGTTCTGGATATCTCGGAAGCTACGGGTGCAAGGGATGACTAAATTAGATAATGAAAAATGAGTCACGTGATACAACATTAAATAAATAAAACTACAGAACATGTAGAAATATGTGCTTTTCAAGTGCATTACTACTAGAAAAAGGAGATCAGGTGATCAAATAACAGCCCCTATCTTTAACAGGACCTGTGGCATAACTAACTACTCTTATTGTATAATTAACTACACTTCATTGTGCTTGTGCTTGTATGTGAAGACCTTCCAATCATGGGTCCTGACCCCCAGCATCCTACACCGCCCTCTGTAACATTATTATGTTTGGTACAAGGGTCTGCTGCATAGGTGGGTGTGGACAGGCTGCAAGGATGAGATCGTTCTTTTATATGTGGGTGGGACAGAGACGGCTATTGCCAATGGTCAATGGTTACTTACTGGGTGAGGTGAACTAACTCAAGCAGCGGTTATGCAACAAAGAACCTCGCCCCTGACCACACCCACTATCCCCCCACCCGCAGTCGGCCCAGAAGGCGGCGATGAACATTCCCGAAGCCCGTGATGTATATGGTTACAGCCAAGGTCGCATCTATTTCAGCGTTCCCCTCCATGTACGCCCTCACAACCTGCTCAAGCGATTGCTAATGTCATGTATCCTAACTGCAGCTGCATCTAAAAACAGAGGCTATGATTTCACAATTTATTTTGCATATATAGCATTTCCAAAAGCTTTAAGTGGTTAATATGCAGTTATATTACTAATTTATCCAGCTATTAACACTTCCCAAAATGAAAATTTCTGATAAATACTAAGCACAGCATGGTCACATTAAACAGACACCAAGTCAAATTATTGTAACAAAATCGAGAAAAAAAAGTGATGGGTTTATCCGAAACTGGAGACACCCTAAGCTGTAAAATTGAAATTAATAAAATTTACATGTTTAAATTACACCAAAATCATTCATAGTTTAAATATAGCAGTGTAAGATACACTGGAGATGGATTCTAAGAGAGGACTTATTTAATATCTTCATTAATTGCAGGTCATACCGTGGAGTATACATTAACAACTCACAGAAGTTGCTCTGAATAAACTTTTAATTTCATTTAATTTCAAATGTTTAGTAAGAAGGTGTAAGAACACTACACAGAGAATACTGCACATTATAAGGGCAAAACATTTTTTTTATCGTTTGACAGTTACTTTAGCTGTCTGTGTGTATCTCTTATGCTTCTGAAAAAATTAGCTACATTTATGGCGTCTTTTTCCAGCAAAGTGTACCATGGAATAAATGGAAAAAAAATCAGAACACCCAGACTGTCATCAATGCAAACATGCAGATACAAACAAATTAGTGAAATAAATTCTTTGACTCACATGAAAAGGAGGATGCCAGTGTTGGCCATAGCATACGCCAATCCCAGAATGCCACTCCCCATTATGGCGTTCCCCAGGTTAAACACCGACATGCCGAAAGAGGTCTTTCCCTCAAACTGTCAAAAACATAAAAAGGGCTGTTGGAAATGTATTTCTCAGCAAAACTTTCACGTTTGTTCCTTCCAAGAGTTTTTCCACACTTAATTTAGCGATAAAGATTAAATGATAAAAAAGTAAACAGGAAAAAGATCAGGATGGTACGCAGTGGTTATTAGAGGCTAACAGAGGCGTAGGACTCACATCGGTGAAGCGTGTGGGCTTCTTTCCCTCAGGACAAGGCAGGAACTCCTCACTTTCTGCCAAATTCCCTTCACCATCCTCATATCTGAAACAGGTCACAGAAATAGCCTGGTCACAACCTGGTGGAAATACAATTTTGATAACAACAAGTGTGCTGTAGTTTGAAAAATGACGCGTATTAAAAAGGGATGACTGGTGTGATAAGGTGCGGGATTATACACAACATTTTCACACATGTATTGTTAATTTATAATAACGTTATATGGTAAACCGGAAATGTGATTTCATTTCCTTATCAAAACCTCCTTCGCATCCAAGCTCAGTTTTAATGTAGTGGAAAGAAAGATAACCTCTCATTCAATAACTGAAAATAATCTAAATACACACTTCAGCTACCATTATGGGATGAATGAAAGCCCAGTCATCAGATTTACTTGCATTATGAAGATTCAGAAAATAATTCTGACATGCAGCGCCTTTTAAATGTATGACGGCATTATTTGAACATTAAAAGGTCAGATCTGTGAGCAAATAGTTATCAACAGAACAGTAAATATATGACAGTAAATAACAAAAAAGTGCAACACAGTTAGCGTGAGCACAGAAGCTTAGAAAAAATCAAATCAGAAATATAAGAGACATTCTGTGTAATGTCAAAATAGTCCGTTATACCCAAAAGCATGGTTCAAGAACGGCAGGTATTTATTAACCAGGGAAAAATCCATATTTCAGCCACAGAAAAGCTTGGAAAACACATCAGCATAACGTCAACTAGCAAGATAACAAATTGTTAGGCTGAACATGATGTCATGCTGGTCAATGGTTATGTCCATAGTATCTCCTGCTGCTAAGGTCCAATATTCCGGTATTAATTTTCACCAGGTACTTAATAAATTATTAAATTTAATTATGATTAAAAGAATAGTATTCTACATTTTCTCTAAAGAATCACAAATTATCACAATTGATTGAATTATTATTATTATTATTGCTGCTGTTGTTGATGATGATATTATTATTGTTAAGAACCAATCAGATTTTGATGTTAAAGATATATCACAGACACAACTTAAAGACATGCGTAATTAAACATAACTACTTAAAAAATTTAGATATAAGGTGCCACCATCAATTGTTGACAGAAGGGACATCTGACAACGATAAATGTCAGCGTGACTGAAATGAAACTTGTATGCAGGACAGTCTAACAAGATTGTAGTGTTACAAAGTTGTAATGTTACACAGGATCAAATGCTCACTGATCATCCTCTAGGAGCGTCTTCATTGGCATGCCCATGTCCTCTCCCAGGTCATTCTTGCCATTGGTCAGAATGCTCATCTCGGATTGGGCAGGTTCCATGATGTCACTCTGTATATCCTACGTATGAGGTGCTCACTGTTTCCTGAGGTTTCTGGCAGTGAACAGAGTATTGTTAGAAGACTAATATAATACATATTCAGAAAAAAAGCCGCAAGAGTTTTCCACCAAGGCGTATTTGTGCATAGCCAGTGCTACGTGGCCTTATTTACAAATACAGTAAGCATTATTCCATTGTCAGTGAGACGAGTTCATTGGCTAAGTTGAGTTTTAGGGAGTTTCATGCCCTAAATTACCCCTATTGAGAACACAGATAGCTGCCACACAATGTGACACTGAGACAGAGAACGGCAGAGAACAACCTTTATGTTCTTCCTCTCTCACAATGATTTTGTTTTCTACGGCACTATGGTGCAGATTTCAGTGCTAAGCAGCATAGTTGGTCCAGGATATCAGTAATTTTTCATTGCATGAAGTTGGATTTTAGGCAGTGTGACCCTAAATCAGTTGGTACTGGTCCTTTTGCATAATCTCCTTTGGCATAATTTTTCTACTAGCTAAGCAGTGAAGTTTCATTGAGTTCCTCTAGAAGTTCTGAAGGATGAAGGTTGGTTCTAATCAGCTTACAATTTGTTGTTCCATATGATCTTTATGTCCATTTCCTGTGTTTAAATCTGACAGTATTTTGCTTAAGACTGTCCCCTCTTAGTTCAGTGCTCAAAAAGTCAATACATATCATCCCTCTAAAATGGATAATGCAGTTATGGAATCATTGGATAGTATAATTTCAAGTAGTTTTCAAATATCCTGAGCCATGAAATGACAGTGAATGTAGTGCCATATTTGAATACAAATCTTCTATACCACTTGTCATGCATTCCACTTTTCATTTAATGAAGCCTCATAATAAAAACATTCAAAATACTAAATTTTTGGTTAATGATTTTGTAAAGAACTTCACACAGTAAAATGAAACCAGTGGTATTTACTGCTGAACCCCTCAACTCTATCCACTGTGTTCCACCCCTTGCTGGGCTCATTTCAAATTTCTGTCAGCACTGTAAAAATAATCTGCCTATAATTTTAAATCAGTGCTGCAATATCCAGCTGGGGGGTTCAAAGAGATGACGGAATTGGACCAACAAGGCAAAAATAATCATTACTGTTTTGCACCAAAAATGTCTTTATCTTCTTGTCCAGACTGACAGATGTTCCCCCCATTAGACACTGGCCCTAGGATTCCTAGCAATGGGCACAGTCAAGGTACATGTGATGGTGACAAATGGATTCCAAGATGGGTAAGCTTGCAAGAGGTGAGGAATATGAGAAAGGAATCTCTGTCCACTGTCAAATGAAACACATCATTTATAAACCCAAACAATGATATTTGACAGATAAAATAATTCCTCAAAGATACATATTTATAGATGAATAAAACACCTGTTCTAATAGTAAATTCAGTCATTCAGTGTTCTAGTCCCAGGTGACATGTGTCATTCAGTATTTTAGTCCCAGGTGACATGTGTCATTCTGTATTTTGTCCCAGGTGACATGTGTCATTCTGTATTTTGTCCCAGGTGACATGGTGGCTCAGCAGGTAGTGTTTTGATTTACACATGACTGGTGACAACTGGTGACACTATTCTGCCCTTGACACATTACTGCGTAAAAGGCTTCCCAGCCTTCCAGAGAAGACTTTGTGTTTCTCAAGCTCTGGGTCACTGCAGCTGTACAGCTAGATAAGCCATTGTTCAGAAAGGACACATGGAAAGATGGAAAGATATGGGCATTCATGCGAGTCCATTAATGAGTCTGCCTAAAAATAAACTCTGGAAGGACTACGCTGCAGTTTCTGATGTACGTGTTACAAAGTCCAGGCAACAAAAACAACAAAGCCTGCACCCAACTAAAACTTTTCACTTCACACATTAAGGATGTCTTTCATCTGCTGTTGGAGAGATGGATTTCCAAGGAAATAAAGCCCCTCTCCAAAATGCGTGTGTGTGTGTGTATATATATATATTGTCATGCGTTCCACTTTTCATTTAATAAAGCCTCATAATAAAAACATTCAAAATACTCAATTTTTGGTTAATGATTTAATTATATATATATATACACACACACACACACACACATAGAAGCCTGTATTATATTTAATCAAAATTGTTTGGATGTTTTTATCAGTGCATCTGGGTTATACCTTTACAAATAATCAGATTCAACATATTGATAGTTTGCTTTAATGATGCCACAGATGCCACTGAGATTGAAAAAACCATGACCCAGTTATACTGTAGCTGATTGCAATGTAGTTGTAATGAAATGTTGAACTTTGCTAATAAATCATTAACTTGGCCTATTTTTCCACATTTGAATACAGGGCTTTCATGTTTATTTTACTGTGTACATCTTTTATTCCAGAGTATAAATGTCAAATGTTCAGCTAATAATGTCCAACATAAGAAGTAATGGAGTATTTGTGAGTATTTTAAAGATGATTTTCATGTTTTAAAAAAGGGAATGAGTCCTAAAAACACGGAAAGAGCATCAGAGGAATAAAAAGTTCGTTATTTTTCAAACAGTGGTGTGCTTATTTGGTCAATAATTAAAACAAATAATAATTGACCATAGTCCACAGTCCATAACACATCCACTTAAGATCAACTGATTAGTTCAATTAGAGAGATGTTAGATCAAAAGTGAGGTACAGCAGTGATGCTTTTCTAGAACTGGTACCTTGGTTACCTGAGCGATATCACAGAGAGCCTATTTTAGCATTTTTGTAAGCACTGTCTTTACACACTGCCAATCAGTTCAAATACACTGGATTGTACATGCTGGCTGGTGAACTGTTCATGAGATAAAGTCACCGAGTGGTTGCCGTAAAAAGACCAAGCACCCAATACCACGCACGATGACAATTGCTGGTGAGGGCATGGAAATTCAAACACGTCTAGAGGTTTTCCACTGGCCTCATCAGCCGTACAGTGAAGATAAGAAGGGGCTCTGCTTACTTTTGGAGTAGTTTATATAGCGGATGGAGAGGGAAAAGTGTTTTTTGTTTTTATCAGGATGTTACTTTAGCCACAGTAATTTTTACAAGCATTTTATTAATGCTGGATGTGGGGTGGGATGGTTACCATAGGGTTATACTGCCAGCAAGTTCACCTTCAAGGACTTCCACAAATTCTAATGAGTTTCTATTATGATTCTTTTTTGCTTCTATAATGAGAAGATGGAAAATCGCTTTTTTGTATTTTCAAAAAGGTCTTTAAGTCTTTTCTAGGTACAGAAAATTGCCTTTCTTTCAAAACACCTCTATTAATAATGCATGTTAACATGGAATATTACATTGTGCTTATAACTTCAGTCAGATATGGGCTAGTTCACTTCCATGGCATGAAGCAGATGGGTCACAACAAAACTTTAGATGACTGAAATTTCAAAGCCATTTTAAACAGAAACTTTTCAAAATCCAAGCATCAGTAGCGCATATCAAAAAACTTTTTAAAAAATTACAGTTTTGCCATTCCATGAGTTGCAATGCCATAACGGGACAGTATTCCTAATCTTGCTTTGGAATTCCATCTAGACCGCGCCATTCTCTCAGATGGCAGTCCTTAGCATTTGAGAAAACAGAGTTATTACTACAATGGTGTTGAGATTAACTGTTCAATAGTTTTTTCCCAATTTGACTACAGTGCTTGACATCCTATGCTGCAATCATATCAAAAAGTAAGAGCGAAAAACAAAAATAGTCCTCCACTTAAAAGTTTTAACGATAGCTCTCCATAATAATGCATTGCATAACCAATGAGTCACATATAAAACTAAAGTAGAAATCAATGCCAGAACATACGTAAAAGTAATATTGGGTCAGTCAGTAGCTGAATTGTTAATGAATCAGATTTGTTTAAGAAATCACCTTGCTTTTTTTGAGTGAGATACTGATATGGATGTAAAGTAACTTTACATTAACGTATTAAAGCACTTAATGGAACCTTACAGTAGATTTTGCATTAAGCTAGAATGATATTCAGTCCAAATTTAAATTAAAAAAATCTGAATATCACCAGTACACAGGGAAGCTTACTTTCATCTGGCCCTTTTTATATATTAACTTTGAGACACTAAACACTTTTAAAGTAGCTTGCATTATTAGAAAATTCCACAAACAGAGAGCAGATGGATGGATGGATGGATGGATGGATGGATCAATCGATAGAATATGAAGGTGATTTTCCCAAGTACACTTTTTTCACATCATTGTGGTTCTTTAAGATGTTCCCCTCTGGACCTGTCGACTTTAATAATCAGTATTAACTAGAAAAGTTAATTTTCCAAATTTTGGTGACTTGTCTCAACACAGGTTCACTGGATCTGTATCTGTTCTTTGATGTGCTGACTAAGACTAGGGCTCAATGACACATATTAATTCCCCCATCATAAATTTTGCCAATTGGGTGGGTTTATCCATGATAAATTTTGCTGAAGTATAATACAACACTATTATTATTATTATTATTATTATTATTATTATTATTATTATTATTATTATTAAAAGACCCTGATGCTTTAGTGAAATTCCCCACAAAGTTTGCCAACCTGCTACCACACTAACCTGCTACTGATAAAATCTGCTGAGGGGTGCTAGCATCTAAAAAAAATATGCAAACTATATTTTAGAATATTCAGAAAATCATCTGGCATGACAGAGTTTAAATACCACTGACCATGTTCTGCTTCTTCCTCTTCTTTTTCTCCTCACCTCTATAATGTTCCTAGGAAGTTTGCATTCTTTGCAACAAAAAAAAAGGAATACATTTAGATAGCAAATGGCTGGGTTGACAAGATGGCTACTGCAATCTTCCTTTCTGCTCTCTGCTGCCACCTAGTGCTGCTGCTTCAATTTTGGAGTGATTTGTGGAGAAGGGTCCAGTGGGAGAAAAGAGTCTCACTCATCAAGGCTCTAGGGGGGTAGCTCTCTGTGTGTGGCATGTTGTACATCACTCTCACAGTAGGTGGTTGCAGTGTGCAAATTGGTGTCCCATGGTAATAATGGAGAAGAGGCAAATGGTGGGAATTGTAGTGGTAATTGTAGAAGGATATGCAGAGGAAATCGGGAAACTTCAGAAGCCTTAGGTATGTTTCGCTATTTCCATTACATTATTTATAATCTAAATAATCTAATGTGGAAATTAGAGCCCTCAAATAACAAATAAAGTAAATATAAATAATATCAAATAGAGTTATCCCATTCACAAGGTAAAGCATGCTGTCTAAATCAAACTTAAAATGCTGCAAATAAGCAGCATTGCTTCAATTGTGAGTTTTGTCTCAAAATCTGAAGAGATCCACATCATAACCCATACAATGTGTTTACAAAGGCTGAAAAAGATCCTTCAAATATTTTTGGGTTATCGTACTCACAAGATTTGCCAGGTTTGGAAAAGACCTGACAAATGATTTTTGAGTTATCATGCTAACAAGATCAAGGGTCCAAAGCTGCCCTTCCTTCTGTTGACACTGCAATGTTGCTGCAATTTTGACCACTTCTTCACCTTCACCCAGATAATGTGTTAGCAAATTTTGAGAAAGTTACTTAAATTTTTTAGAGTTACTTAAAATACTGCCATCAAATACTTTTAGAGTTACAGTTCACATGACCAAGTGTATTTTGCTGCATCTATTTCCTTCCTTTACTACTTATTACCACATAGCACTTCTTCTTAATTCTTTAGTCCCCTACCCCCACAGATATTCAACCTACTGCTGCATACCCTCTCAAGCAGTCCTGCCATGTTTCTTATTCATGCCCGGGAACAAGATCATCGCCAACCCGTCCCTACTATTTTGTTGGCCATAAAAATTGCAATAGTGACACACCTGTGGTTAATCATGAGCTTCCTTTATCTAGTCTTTTAACATGTAAATCTCAACTAATACTTGATATCAACAGAAACTCAACAAGGCTGGTATACATGATCCATACTGATGACATCTTTTCATACCTCTGCAGTATTGCACCGTGGGCAACATCTGAAGTACTATGACACTGTCAAATATCTAGTTCACACCATGTCTCAATACAGGCATGAGCAGTTTAAAGCTTATAAAAGTTTAGAAGCATACAATTATTTTCTGGCTGATCATGTACACGGCACTAGTGTATGGGAAATTCCCAGAAATTATATCATATTGAAGAAATTATAATATCATATTGAAGATAAGACTTTTATCCTTATCTTATTAATGCTGCAATGTCTAATGACAGACAGTACATCAAACAATTGTGTGTAAATCAATTTGGACCCTAGGGCTGGGCAGTATGGTGAAATATTTTATCATCATTTTTTTTATATCAATTGAAATCAATAATTATCACAATATTATTCATCATTTCTCTACTTCAATGCTCCATTTTTACTTCCTTAAAATTGCCAGTAAAAAGGTCAGAAATTTAACTAGAGACTGAAATTTAATTTTAATAAATAATACAAAAACCACACATAAATCATACATACAAATAATACACGAATGTGTGTATTCAGTAGGCTGCCAATTCTCCTGTCTGATCCACTTTCCGGGTCTGCTAGAAATCTATGAAATGTTAAATCAGGTGTATCACCTCTCCAACATCTCAGGCATATTTAACTAAAATTTGCTTGAAAACTCAATACATCATTGCTGCTTTTTCTGCATTGTAAAATGTTGCTTTTGGAAAGACAGTGAGTTTATTTGACCAGTGCTAAAAGAGCAGACCAAACCATTTTTGCAGTATAGGGAGGGAAAGTAAAATTATCTTTGACACTATGTCAAGAAAAATTAGGAAGATAAACAAACAAGAAGCTTATGTGATTCACAAATACAATATAAAGTTTTCACAAATGTGAATTTTGGACAAATTATTCCAGCAGATTATTTAAAGGTCAGAGGGCCCTTTTGTGACCCCCTTGACCCAGGGCCCAGGGACTGACCCAGTAAACCCCCCTTCCTCCCCCGCCCTGCTCTCTAGCGCTACACAGTGCAATGCTCTCAGTAAATTTGGGCCACCCAGGGGGTCAGTGCGGTTCCCTCTGTAAATTTTACATGATGCTGAAAAAGCCACTTACATCCTCATAAGCGGGACACTTTCAAATGTTTTGGCAAAAGGGCCAGGTACTCAGGCACCCTCAGCCAATGAGAAAGTGCTCATTGCTTCTGGCGTACCCCGAAACATGATTTTGTGTACCCCTGGGAAACACTGACTTATAACATTCACAATGTCAAATGATGTCTGCAGTTACCCTTCCTTTTTCTGCCACTATGCGGTGTTGTTTCAGTTTTGGGGAGATTTGTGTTAAAAATTGATCAGTTCCAGGGCTTCATCCCCACAATGTCTCTGTGAAGTCTGAATAAATCCTTCAAATACTTTTCGAGCTATTGCGCTAAGAACATCTAGTATCAAAACTGCTAATTTCTTTGCTATCATTATGCTGCGCTGCTTCAGTTTTGGGGCAGACTGTCTCGAAATTTGATCAATTTCAATTTGGCCCCCCATTGAAAAAGATCCATCAAATACTTTTTGAGTTATCATATTAGCGGGCTCAAGTGTCTGTGGTGGTAGACTGGTCCCAAAACTCCCTGGGGAATACAATAAGGGCCTCAAAGGTCAGCATCTTTTGGCTGAAGTTTAAAGGTCCTGAAATAACATGGAAATAACAACCAGTCTAATCTTAGATATCCTCAAAAGGCATGTTTAAGCAACATGGAATTTTCACAGTTGAATGGCTTAGCTCATCCATACCACCAGGTGTCTGGAAGACTCAGATATAGTCTGAGTGGAAATTCTGAAGGGCACTTTAAAACATTGGCATCATTCAATTAAAGTGATTCACACAGAAATTATTATGACATTATCTCCAGTGGTGATGAACAGCTGTTACAAGCCAGTGGAAACACGAACAACCAACCAAAAAATTCTCTTATGCCTCCAACTGTTTATTTTTATAATATACAAAAATATATCTGAAATTTCAATAATGTACTGCACAATGGAAAGAAATGTAGATTTACTTATAATTTATTCAAAGGTATAACTCAATCACAATAACTAATCTACAAGATATTGTAAGAAGCATTAATTAACACAGATGAACATTATATTTACTAATATTAAGGTATTTGTTTCTAGCTAACATTTAACTCATTTTTTACGCAATGGACAAATGTCTCATTTTCCATGCTTAAATGCAAGTACATTAACTTTAAAACATTAAAACCCTAAGTTTTCTGTTCAAGAACTTGTAGTTGAAATGAAGAAAACAAAAAATATCTGGAATGAAAACTTCTTACTTGAATATCTTTAAATCTTACAGTATTCCGTGTAAACAGTATACCTAGGATAACATTTTCATTTTGTTTCTATTAGTCTTCATTATCAATATCAAATTGACAATATGCCCCAAAGCATCTGGAGTGCAGAGAAAATGAAGATGAGTTGACAATAAAACAGTTTATTCGTTCATCTTGTATATCGCTTGTCCTGTATTATGGTCGTGGAGGTGCGGAGCCTGTCTCGAGGACAATGAGCTCAAGGCAGGGGTTAACGAAAGACGTGACACCAACGCATTGCAAACGATACATTCATTTACAGACAAACAAATATTATTTGAAATAATCCGAATAGGGCAGTTCCTATCAATTACATATATACACTTAAGTTGAATGTTTTTGGACTGTGGTCAGAAACCGGAGGAACTTGCGTAAACCCACGTCCACATGGACGGAAAATACTAACTGCGCAACACAAAGAGGGTGGACGTCTACAAGACTAACCACTGCACCGCCGGGATAGGCCTGCACATGCAACGGCCATGTCGGGAGAACAGCGACAGAATATTTTATAAACTGACATAGGACACAAAACTAAAATATTTTTGAGCAACCAAAAACAAATCGTAAGAAATTTAACAAAATAAGCTGGGAGAATGAGAAAAGCGAATAAGAACTGTGTGCTGAAGCAGCATTTCTTTCTTAGCCGGATAACTTATCAGATTTAAGGTGGTCTGGACTAAACGTAAGTGAACGATGACAAAGTATAATTAAACTGTGGCACCTTAAATCCGACAAGTTGTCTGACTAAGAAGGAAATTCAGCTTTCTGACACTGCAAGTGATACGCTTTGTGTCGGTAACTCCAGGTAAGACCAACACATTAGATAGACTCCCACTCCTTAGTTTTTATATACCGCAATATATATCACAATCAATTATAACGTTAACTTTCTCCAATATCGTTCACAAAATTAAATGACACAACCGTTATATATAATGCGTTTTATTACCTTGTAAATAGTCTGCAGCGTTTGCAGACTACCCCAACTTTGTTAATGTAGCAAGTTCATAATGGAATAACACATATTTGCCGTAAGATTTCTTACGTCAGCGTGAGTCTGAAACCGTGAGTGTCACGCCAGATGCGTGAGAGCTGGCAACCCTGTACATAGGTTATTAATATATAATTCATATTTTGTTATTCTGCGTCGATTACCTTGAGGTACAGCAATCGTAGAATAAAGTAAGCTAAATTTAAATCAAGAGGTTTTAATCATGCTTTGTACTCACGCAAGAAATCTTACGGCAAACCGATATTAGGCTATTCTATTATAATCCTAAAATTAGCTACATCAAAAGCGTTGGGGGTAATCTGCAAAACATACAGACTATTTACAAGGTAATAAAACTCTTACATGCATGTAAATGCGTGTGCAGACTTGTCTGGAATTCAAAATCTCACGCCAGCCAGCTGACCAAAGTCAGCAATGTTTATATTTATCTGCTAACGGTTAGTTCCTTAATGTCTTCTTCTAATTTGTTGTTCCATTGCAGTCGTGCTGTTGTGATAGTTCTGCGACGACTGCATTTTCATACACTTTCAATGCGACGTGCTCCCATACAACTGAGGCCTTCGCTCTTTATTTGGACCCTCGTCCGTCCGCCATATTGCCGACTAATGGAAAAGGCCATTTCTAACCCTAGATTTTTAAGAAATGGTCATCGAAACTGTTCTAATGTTAATGTATTATTAATCGGTAACAGCACCAATCATTATATTTCTTCTCTAATCAAGAAAATGTTGATTACTGTCCAGTGCAGGGAAAATTCAGCATGGTTGTAAGTGACTCTAGAATGACATGAAAAACAATCTAAAAAACAAACTGTCACATGCAAATCATGTCTTTTTCTACAGAGCCGATCAAATAGACTGGATAATAACACTTAGACTGCTACGTTATATGTGCTATTTCAAGCCTTAGCCTGACAAAACTGGACAGCTGAAACTCAAACCCAGCCAGTGAATTATGGGCCAACTATATCTGAGCCAAAATGCAGAATAAAGCTATAATGCAGCATGTCAAAGAGCGATATGAGTAACTTTCCTCTAAAAGGAAACTATGGAATCACAAAGTTAAATGTCTTATACACAAAACTGCACTTATATTTCTTAACCATTTTCTGGCCGTTTTAAATTCGACTAGATTAAGTTATTTCTTCCTATTTATTGCATTGCAACTGCAGTCTAGAATTGTGTCGAAGTACACGTTTTAATGTAATGCGACAACGCGAAACAAAAAAAATAATGATAACTGATCATTGAAATTGATCGTTTTTGTGGATCTTGAATGTTGTATTTGAACGGCCCCTATTTCCTTGGGGTGTCTTCAGTGTTTTAGCCCTCGGTTTCGGACTGAACGCCTTGGCTGTGGTATGTGGGGGAGGCGCAATTTCTGGATAGCGAAATCACATAAGCAGTTTAAAGTATTCACGTGTTTGCAAATGAATAAATGCAGTAAACATAAATCGGACACTGAATGGAAAATGACGTTGGATATAAATAAACTCGCAATATTGTATTAGATTACTTAAAATGTGCAAAAACACAGTAGGTCAGGTCTTTACGGCGAGCTCGGATGTTACTTTATTTGTTATAATAAAGAAAAAAAAACAAATTACCGAGACAGAGGACATGATAAATTACAGAATCACGTTACATTTGAACGTTCTTCAAACTTCCCGATCAATTTCAAAACATAATCTAGATTTTACAACAGAAGCTAGTATCACAAGTTATGGACATATTTTTGAGATCGGAGTTTCAGAGCATCGTGTATGCATTTTAGAATTACAGGTCGCAAACTTTCACAATGGCAACATGTTCAAAGCGCTTTCTTCCCATATAAAATCCCGACTGGCTGAACACGTAAATGGCAGCGTTTGAATTGCCGAGAGAATAGACTGACGGGCCACATGGCCCAGACATCTCTGCTTGTCTGGAAAAAAATCTATTTAGTTAAAAAAAATCTCTAATCGCGGTCAACCCGTTTCGTCTACACAGAAGCAAGAGCAGTATCTTGAAACAGCCTTACAAATAACACAACAAACACTTTCCCCATATTAGAACTTCTTTGGCACAAATCATTTTCTTGTTGCTCTATTTTTCAAAGGAAAAAAACACTTTGTACAGATATAAACCTGCAAAACATTCGCATTTACTCACTGAAATTACATATCGTTAAAATCATAATTATTGAGGAACTTACCACTTGCGAGTCACTTAATTTTGATCAACTCCTAGATTTACGTGGTACTTCCCTGCTTTTTCTATACCACCTTTTCTTTTCCGCTGTTTCTGGATTATTTTCTTTAATTCTGCTTGGGAAAAAACGAATCTTGTGTGATTAAAAACAGCCCTTAACGATAACTCTCGATTTGTGTTCTGGAGGTTAAACAGAATTTTCAAGGGGTCTGTAGTTGTAGGACGATGGGGGTCGTTCTAGCACCGCCCCCTTCCCGAGGCCTCCAATGGGAGTGTAGTGGTGATCTAAGGCACACCTTCCAGGCAGCAACATGTGCAAGAGGTACCACGTTTAGTGATGTTCCATTAGATCTTTTAAATGGTTTCATTTTGTATAACGTGAAACCAAATTTTAAATCTCACAAAGGGAAATTTCAGTGTTACAGTAGCAATAACAGACAGGATCAGACAATACACACAACATGAGCACAGTATGAAAGGACATAAATATATAAATTTGAACAATGTACTATATACAAACAACCAAATGATACATGTAGTCTAAGACTACTGTGTAAAGTGATAGAAGATACTCTACAAAATAGTTTTGCTAAGTACATATTTAAATAAGATTCTATGGGTACCCAGGCATGAATATTGAAGTAAATTGTTTTCCAGCTGCCAATGAACTGCTACAGCAATTTAACACATTCCTTTAGAATCAACTACAGGCTTACTTGATATACTGTCCACTGAATGTGTTCATCCAGTGACTAAAACTCGAATGGAATCTGAACATAGCATTCAGGGCTTCTCACAGAAAATCCCAATCGATGCGTTGCAAGGTGCAGACAGGTATTACACGGATTCACATGGATTCCATCTTGATATGAAATGGTGGTAGAGGACAAAACAGTCTATCTACAATACTAAGAAGCTTACAAAGTTTATCTCCAAACAAGAGAAGGATACAAAGAAGCAGACTTGTGTAAGTCATGTTGGCCATAGATTTCCTGGAGCATAGTAGCATAGCTTTTGTTTGACTAGAGATAGGTAAGGAATATGCACTGATTACAGGGTGTTGCTGCAACCACAACACAACAAACCACCTCAGAGATGAGAACCTGAGTTTAATTCTTAGTAGTTGGTAAAGGGGAAAAAATATTGGATTGGTAGCGGTATCAGTATTGGAAGATTAAAAAAATTTTAATAAAAAAAATGATATTATGCCTTCTGTAATCTCATCACATCCCAACTACTATGGATCTGGTACTTCTTTTCATTTATAATACACTATATGGACAAAAGTATTGTAACACCTGATCATTACACCCACAGGAACCTTTATGACAGCCCATTCATAGGCATCAATATGGAGTTGGTTCTCCCTTTGCAGCTATAACAGCTGCCCCTCTTCTGGGAAGGCTTTCCACAAGATTTTGGAGTGTGTCTGCAGAAATGTTTGTCCATTCATCCAGAAGAGCATTTGTGAGCTCTGGCACTGATGTTGGACTTGCAAGGCTGGCTCACCATCTCCGTTCTAGTTCATCCCAGAGGTATTTGATGGTGTTGAGGTTAAGTTGTTGGCCAGTCAAGTTCTTCCACAGCAAACTCATCCATGTATTTTTGGACCTTGCTTTGTCCATTGGGGCACAGTTATGCTGAAACCAAGGAGGGCTTTCCCCAGACTGTTCCCACAAATTTGGAAGCATAGAATTGCCCAAAATGTCTTGATATGCATACCAAAATATTTTGGACATTTCTGTTTCCAACTTTGTGGGAAAAATGTAACACTGTAATACAAAGTTGTATTATATGAACTGGTCAAAAATACCACTTAGAGCAGATTAATATTTACTTATGAGGGACAAATAGCTGATATTATGCTCAAGTAAAATAATGTCTGTCTCTCTGACTGTAAAGTCAGTAAAGGTTAAACTGAATAAAATAACAAACATTTTAGTTGATTTACATAAAGTGTCCCTCTGTCCCTAAAGAACCATGAGAGTGGAAGAGAAGGACCCAAGAACGTGTGCAGGGTGTGTCCCTGGAAAGCGTCCTGTGCTGTTGAGGATGTGCCCCAGGTCTCCTGTGACCATGCTCTGGATAAATGAATGGATGTGAGAGACCTACAGCCAGTCCACGTTTTTGCTCTCTCCAAGCTCCCTCCTAGACAGTCCACAAAATGTGGACTGTCTGTGGGTCCCCAAGGACTGAATTGGGAAACACCGCATTAAATGATTAGAATAGAGCTTCATTCATTCATCTAAAACAAAGAAGAATTTTTGCCTTGGTAATGTTATTTTAAATGGTACAATGGTTTTGCAATATTTTACAATTAAACTTGATTACCCTGCTCAGCAGCGTGTGGCTCAGTGGGCTAAGCCTGTATGCTTGTAATCATAAGGTCACCAGTTCAAACCCAGCCTCCGCTGGTCTGTGGGTCCTTGAGCAAGGCCCTTATCTCCCAGGTCCCTGAAGGCTGCTACAACTTGCAACTGGACAAATTACTTTACAAAGAGGAGCAGGAGTAAAATTCATTAAAAAATGCTGATTACTGACAATAATGGTTTGATAGTTTTTGTTTATTTTTAGAATAAATTTGCTGTGTGGCTAGGATTAATTTTGACTTGCATATTATCTGACTCGTAATTAATTTTTGCTACTTGACTTTCTTGGCATCTTCATGCTGAAGAAATCAGTCTTTGGCTGATCCATGAGACCCATCTGCACAGTCAGAGAAGGTCACTGTGTAGAAAGGAACATTGAATGCTTTTTATAGTGGTCTGGTTTAGTGCCCTTGGTGACATAGAAGTAAACAGAAGGGAGTTGCACTAGTGTAGAAGTTAAACTATCCCAAACGCTGCCTGCACATTCACAGAAGTAATTATTCTAATGTTTCTGACATTTCAAGAAGAGCTCCAAATAGAATATCTTTGATCGAACCCTGGGGACCACATGCAGTATATAGGAAAAAGGTGAAATTCTCTTCAATTTTGCTATCGAAACACAGGATATCTCTGTTTTTAATTCATATCAAGATAGTTACATGACATCAACAAAGTTTGCTTAGATCCTTGTCATATTTGGTGCTGTTTTTGGAGTTATACAGCTCTGGTCAACATTATTGGCGCCCCTGAATTTTTGCTATATCAATAAAAAGACTTTAAAAAAGAAAAAAATTGTTGCCATTTTAACCAGTTTCCAAAGATTCACAATCAGAGGGAGATCAGGACACGTTGCTGACCAGTTTAAAACAGCCCATTTTACTTTTTCAACAATTCCTCTGTGGTTTTGGATGCATGCTTTGAATCACTGTTCTTCTTGAGGACCTATGATCTTCCAGCCAAACCAAGTTCTCTGACACTGCGTAGCACATTTTGCTCTGCCTTGATAATCCTCTCATCTCATGATTCCTTTAATACATTCAGTGATTTCGCTGTTGGGTCCTTGATAAAGGTCCTTAAACACAACTGTTCCAGAGACTGCTTTGTCAGTTGTATGTGGTTTTGGATAAAAACTTTGGGGACACTTATAATACAAGAACAATGTTCAGAATTTTGTCACTGGCAATCTTGGGCTTGTTTCAAACAAAAACACGATTTATTTAAGATCAGATTTTTGCATACAGCTTTACAATTTTTAATGAAGACTTATTCTGAAGAAGCCTTTAGTTCTGGAAGTCACCTAAATTATATATAACAATCTACAATCCATCTTCAGACAACTTTTCCTTAAGGGTTGTGTTTTTACACAATTCAAATATTTATTTATTATTGCGTAACTGATTTCAAAAGATCTGTCTTCACATTGCACTGTTTTTAGCAGATGGGGAATACCTAGCTATTGGGGTTAGTATCTGTCTCTGACTTCTTCGTTTACCTGTCCACTTCCAACATAACCATAAAAATCCTGAAAAAGAAATCTGAATTTTAATGGGCACTTTGATGATAGATAAAAAGCAAGTAAAGAAAAGACTACAGAATGCCCAGGATAGTCCAGTTGGCTTGTGACATTATATGTTTGTCAAGATGTCATCCTAGATAACAGTGTAATAAGGGCACAATGTACTATGTTAGCATTTCTGGAACAAGTTTACCACCAAGTCACAGCTTCAAACAACATCCAGGAAGTGCGTTAGGAACAGCACGTGTTAGCTTTACTTTCTTGACGTTAGAACCCAACTGCCCGGATCACTGCTTTTGTTAGAATCAGTATGCCCCTCATTTCCCCATTCAGGTCATTATTGTAAATTAGTCAATATGTACTTAAAGGTTAAACATTCACAAGAGATGTGAAAGTGATTCAGTATTATGTGTTCTATTAATTCATGAATTATTTTAACAACACGTTGTGAAATCTGTTTTCATTGATTATTTTAAATGACATTTTATTATTCATTATTTTAGTTTGAAATATAAAAAGGATAATAAAAATGCTAAAATAATATAACTTTTTTGACATTTAAAAAGGTATATTTATTTTTTTAAATTAAGGCAACAAACAACTACTTTACTGTACTTATGTGAAATTCCTGGCTTGGTGGTTGTTCTTCCATTCATGACAATTTTTTGTGGAATATCTGTCATAAAATCTCTATATAATAAGCAGCATCATTTGTATTTACTTTAAAAAATATACCACTACAAATCATGGTTACGTCAAGAAGAGATAGATCATATATTATCTTCAGCAGCAACACGGTGGTTCCAAGGTCTGCACTGCTACCTTAAACCTGCACAGTTGTGGCTCCAATGCTCGGAAGGACCCTGCATCACGCTGTTTGGAAGTGGGATGGATATATTTCTAGCAATGTATAGTCAGATCATGGATATAAGATATTAAAGACCATGACATTTGGGATAGAAATCAATGTGCCCCATTAATTTCAATATATTTGATGTGTAACATATTAAAATTGCTTTTAAGATGTCTGAAAAAATCATCAAGTATGGCATTGATCCATTTTTTTAATCAGTATGTTGGTTCACGTGTTATGACCTGTTCTAACCAGGTAACTCGAATCAAAAGGGGGTGGGAGGGCATTGCGATGAGGCTGATGAGGGCAGCAAGGAGACAACATGCTAAGATAAATGTGTTGCTTTTTGCGGAGCAAAGACTATTCAATTCAAAAGTAGAACAGAAGTAGATCTAAACAGAGCATTCTTTAGACATTACATAATTGAATTTAAAAATGAAGTGGATTATTTGATCTACCCAGATCAATATGGTAT